AATTATTCGTACCAAAGTATTTATCCCAGTGTTAATCGTTCTATAACCAAACACTGCCTCCTGATTGGCTGATAAGTCGCTCAAGGTCGTCAGTGCAATATACTTTTACCAGTAAGGTTATATTTGAATTTCTTTCGCACGATAAGTAAATCACCACTACTCTTCATCATTTTTTCATCGTTAGACAATCACTCCAACATACTTTTGTAATTCACTTAACTCCCACTGACTTTAAGTAAAACACGTGCGAAATTTTCGAAGTAGTAGTTTTTCTTTCAACTTAATAGTTCTCCGCATATATTTATAGAAATAGTTGGTTCGTAAGCAAGTATATTACATTTGTTTTACTTAGTTTCGGGATTCATACTACACACCCTACATCTTATACAAAATCATAGCATTCAATATCTGTAGTTCTCAGGAATAGTCGGTGAAGTTATTGATAAATACTCAAAACTCAGGGTCTGATTATTTTGAAAGTATTTTAAGGAGAAACTTACTCGGCATTTATTCTTTTATAAATTTCGAGCCTATACAACTTTCATTTTATCTTTTTAATTGTTGCTATATGAATATATATATTCATAAGAATTGCAAATGTAAATATAGAATGCTTACTCATCAAAGTAAACTCAATATTCAAAAACTTAACCAGCTACTTTCTAATTCGCTTACCTTTTCCAGAAAATGTGTTATTAAGAAATCATCGATGTTATGAAGGGAAACTGTTAGTTAACATATAAACCCGAGTTTTATGTGACTTGTTCTAAAATAATAACAACTTTACCTAAATTGTACTAGGTTTTTTGGCCGAATATACGGAAATACCCGTATACTAATTGGTTCTAGTAATGTTATGCTCTATGCTTAGTTTATTTTTTCTTTATGACAAGTAGGTAAATTTAAGAAAAAAGGCCACAGCTTCTGTTCAAACAATTTTAAGCAATTGGAGAAGAGACAATGCAACTCAAGTTTATCCGATGAAGTAAGATTTAATACAAAGAGAACATTTCTTTATTTTGGCTGACTGCAGTTTAACTTATTAAGATGAAAGAGGGCTGTAAAAGTCATTAAAATTCAACGTTCATTTTCATATAGCACTGGTCGTATCAACTAGAGAACTGTTGATACACAGCTGGCAATGAGTAGTTGGACCAACTTACCCCAACGTTCGTTCATTAGTGAACAACCAGGATCGAATATAAGACCATATTCAGAATGTTTGGGTCTTATAGTGGACATTATATTTTTCGGAATTACCTGACAAAAATAAAGTTTCTCACTATCAGGTCAATTTAAAATAATGTATGACACCGAATTTTGACTGGGTTTGTGATTTTTCAGTTTCATTTTGTCAAAAAATAACTTGTTTTTACATTACACGAGGACTATTCTTTCTATAAATATCAATTATTTTAGAATATTGTTGATCAGTAATTTTCGAATTAAAAACCAAAAGTAGCAGGTAAAAACTGCCGTAGTGGATTGTCTTAGAGATAACTCCTAAGGCTTCGTATATCACACATCCTGATAATCGTTACTAGGTAGCTCCCAACGATTTATAAATTCCTGGAGACGATATGAATCGTTGACTGCAATTTGTACATCGCAAATCACTAAGCCACAAGCACACAAAGCGGGTCCGAGTAGAAATGAAAATACGAACTAGCAAATACGGAGGCGAATGAATTGATAAGATTTATATATATATATATATATATATATATATATATATATATATATATATATATATATATATAGGACGTGATCAATTACATATGTTCATATGGACATGATAATAATATTACAAAGATATAGACAACTGGTTATTGTTCGAATGAAACTGTCTTTTAAATAAGTTAACTGAAGGGATTGACAAGATTAAACGTTAACAGACTTAAGTGTGAGGTGCTATATTACTTCGTGTTACTTTGATTAAAGCGCAGTATCTCTAACTTTTCCAATATTAGTAAGACAGAACATCCAGTTGCTCAATCTTCACGAACTTCGGATGGTAAAGTCGTAAGAATGACTTGTAGGGTAACATACGTTGAGAACACACTTCGTACACTTAGGTTTAACATGTAAGACTATTTTTTCTTGGAAAATTTTGGTGTCTTGAAATTGTATGTACGTAGCGAAATATTACTAAAAGTATTTTTTTTCTGAAACAGTATAAATTCTATCCGTTACGTTCTACCGAAAGTTCACTATTCTAATCTAATGTAACTAGGTTAAGATATTTTAGATGAGTTACATAAACCAAAGCTCTAGACAACTTAGACTGTTTACTAGTGCATGTTTTAAAGAAACGAGTTGCACATAGGTAAAAGCTAAGTTTGCTAAAAGTTTTGTCGTAACGCCATAATGACTTTAACTAGATCCATACCCTTCTATAAAAAAGATGAGGTACTAGTCTATTCATTTTGAAATGTAGTCAGTCTTCAATTCTTTTCAAATTTCAGAGAAACTAGTACAGCAACCAAAAAGGATGGTTACACACAAGTACCGAGACCAAGTGTATTTATACATGGACTACGTGGTTGTGGTGCTATTGGTTCAGCCCCGAATGCAACTAACGTAGTGAATAACCAAGCAAATTGGACAACATTATATCGTGAAACAGCCGCCACAACAGTTGATTTAACTATATCTGTGGAACAACAGTTATTGGGGAACTTACAGAAAGTAACAGTTGGTCACAACGTATGATTATAGACAGTAAAAAGATTGATAGTAACGAAGACTTTATTCAGAATTCATGCATTCTTGAGCTAAAATATGGCAGATTACTTGCAAATTGACATCTTACTTAGTAAAAATATAAATACAACCGTGCGTATTTTTGTTTGGTGAAATGTTTCAAATAATAATTAACGGTCAGTACTGATATCCAACTGCTTATTCTTATAAAGCTTTTTTCTTAAATGAGTTAAGCAATCAGATAATCGTGGTTATAGCTGATAAAGTACTGTTAGATTCATTAGCAAAAATGTAGTCTATCTTTTCCTCACTGATCAACATAAAGGACAGCTTATTTCTGCATTGAATATGGTAAACACAATCGAATGCTTAAAAGAAGTTAAAGGAATCATGAGCCATACCAGTCCAGCATAACTAATAGTCGTTCAAAAAAAGTAAATTACTTACCTAGTAAACACATGAGTACTTTAAGGAATTTGTGTACAATAATTACCACTCAATTTTCAAGTATCCTAAACGGATGTAAGGAAGGGAACTGAAATGAAACCAACCAAAACAAATATTTATCTATATCTCGCATTATCAGGTGAAGTCCTGCCCTATAATTTATTCTTCAAAACAAAAGCCTAGTAGTATCATCTCAGCCATATATTGCGTTCTTATTAGTTCAAACATTAATGCTCCTAAAGTATTATCTCCTACATCTAAGCTCAGAACTTCTAACTTGTGATTTGACCTTAGCTACTATTGCATCCATCTAACTGAACGTGGTATACTTAAGTAGGGTTAGTGAAGTTGACGAATAATAAACTAAGTCGGATGGTTAATAATCAATATTCCTTTGAAATTTTTTAACATACTTGGTAATTGCTAGTGTAATTATAGTCCCAATGCAGTTTGTTTTCATTTTTTATTAAACAACAACTAAAGAATATGGTGAAGAGACTTGAAACATGTCAGTCACTTAGATTAGTATGAAAATTAACAAATCCCTTCAGTAATAATTGTACCCGGTGGTATTCCTTATCAAAATGTACCGATACTATGACCTCTCCGCTTTAACCATAAGCTGTTCTACAATAACGGTTAAAGGTTAAGAACATTCTAAATATAAATCAATCTTATTCTTTTGTAACGCTACGCACAAGCCATATCATTAATATGCAAAATTTATTTGCATGAGTATTAGTTAAATGAGCTTATTTGATAGTCGCGTTTTGATAAATAGCTAGTAGAACACCAGCGTAATATTCTGAATGCGATCACACAGAAAATTTGTAATTTCAATGACATTTGCTAAAAGCAAATGTCCCGGGCGCCTATTTGTAGTATGATTATATCGATACTTAATAACGGAGAACTAGTATTATATACCCTATCTTCCAATTGCATTTTCTTGATTTCATGAACAATGCTTGTATACCTTAAAATTAAAATAGATCGTCGTTCCGCTTCAATTTATCATTTTCTCCTACTTCGACGTAGACTGACCATAATGTACAACGCTATGATTTCCCAAAAAAACTATTTTTAGAAGTGAATAATTAGACTCATAAGGGTAGAAATAAGAGACAATGAAACGTCTTATTGAGTATAGGACAGGGATAATGAGAAATGCTAACAAATTATAGGTACACTGATTAAGGGTTTACGCGGTGATTAGACGTCGGTATTCAAACATCTATTTGCATAAGTGGAGTTAAAAGAACAGTACTACATTAGACTGCTAACAACAATTAGCATAAGTTCAGCATACGATAATCAATTATTCGCTGAAGTTAAAAACAATTTTTTGTTTGAAATGCAATTAGGTCTCGGCATAGATAATTGCCCTATGTTGGAATTGAGACAAGTAAACAGTACAATTATTAAGCACTCCAACAGACACCAAAACTAAATGCGCCTACGGTGTACGCGAACTATCCCAACAGTCAGTTCGAAGTGTTCAGAGTAAAACTGCAGGTTCCATCTGGGAGGCTAATATCCAAATATATACTTAATTTCAAGAAGAGTAACTTAATATAAAGAGTTGAGCAAAATAAATCAAATATTAGAAATTTAACAGAAATCGATTAAAGCCAATGCACTGAAATGAATTTACATGATCTTGGTTTACTTTGTCAACAAAATCTTATTTCGTAAAAAAATCCAAGTACAATGAGACCAAACAAAGAGCTCAGTGTTTAGTAAACGCCTGATATGATGGCAAAAAGACATCTCCAGAAAGAAAAACACAAGTCTGAAAATGAAAATCAATTTATGAACGACTTAGCACATTCCATAGCTCAGACGTGAAGTTAAGTGGGTTGTATAGTTTCTTCAACGTGTTTAGCTATAAGAGCTGCACGCTTACGCATATAGTGCTGCCAGTGAAGAAGAATTTGATCATCGATCATTCGGCATATCTGACCTCGTGCAAGAGCAGAGCGAAATTCCGCATGTTGCAAAAGATCAAGCAGGTGAAGACAATACGGATAACTAGAAATGAAAGGAGAATATATTTTACGTGGTTAAAAACCTGAATTGATAAACTATTTACTATACGCTATAGTTCCACTACTCATTAGTAGCACAGTGCGACTTCAGACCGAAATTATTATTGATAGAACTGTCAGTTCGCATGGTTATTTATAGAGACATTTACGTGACAACGCTTCAGTAAATCGTAATTGCTAAAAACTGGTTTATCAAAAACATACTGAGCTGTTTCCCTGCACGAAATCTGACTTTTTTTCAAAACCCTTTAGATTTAACATCAAGGTTTGCGACTTGACTTGGATACAAAAGGATTTTACGAATAACATATATTTGTACCAAACCGATGGTTTTCTGAAGTACATTTTTAGATGCTCACGAGGTTCTTATGTGTGTTAAGCTCATCTTATGTTAAGCTAGTCAATAAATTTACCACATGATAGTTTATGTAGACAGATTGACTGCACATAGCACTGATCCGCCCATAGGAAAGCAGACATAAGCATTAGTCACACTCATGACATGCTGAAACAAGCTTGTAGCTTCGAAAAAGTTCCCACCTCGAGAATAAAGGTTGATATATATATATATATATATATATATATATATATATGTATATATGGCAAAATGGCGAGCCAACAGGTGGGCGACAGAAGTAAATGCTTAGTCAATACATAAGGTTATGAAGATACACTTTTAGTCATGACAACGTTTAGGAAGATTGTATTTTTTAATTTCACTCTATAGATAATCATGAAATATGGTATTTGAGTCAAAGTTGAGTTAACTTACATGAGATATCTTGAGTATGCAGGGTCCTTCCAATACAGTAAATACTTCAAATACTTTATGAAATTTGGCTTTTCAAACCAACCTTGCTGTGCAAGAACTAGGGATAATAAGAAAACATAAACATACAATTTAGATAGTTAGGATTCGCAAGACATTGGACAAATTCCAGTTCTATTTGAAACCTATTTCGCGAGTCATCTAGACCAAAGTCTTAACTCGTTAAAAAAAATGTCAGTTACTTTTGAGGTTGCTTTGAGGACGACTTCGAGATTGCATTTTACTCAGGAGAATTAAGCAATGAAGCTACAATTTTCCCAAATTTTGATAAACTCAGATTTTCATGATGGAGTTATCTATCGGGACTTAAAGATGGTAGTTGATAGGATGGATGTTTTCACTTACAGATCATCGAAATCCCTTTGAATACTATTATAATACTATGATCTGAAGAAAAGTAAATGAAGAAAATATTTAACCATATATTTTAGAAATAGTGCTATTGCATGAACACTTGGAAAATGCATCACATAAGTAGTTTATTAAGTGAAAACTTGATAACTTTAACTCTCACCCATGTGTATATCTAGAAGTGAACTGTCACTTGAAACCAATAGTAAGATCGTTTAAAGGAACATTTATCCCGTACTCTGTATTTTAGATACTCCGGAAAATGTTTTCAGTGTAAAAAAGAGACTATATAAGATAGTGAGATTACAGGTTAGAGGTGGGAAAATGAAGACGATGGCTACTGAACTGAGCTGTATCGGGAGAGGATATGAATTAAGCATGGAGATTCTGAGACTCGTATGGCTTAGTAGAAGACTCGATGGAATTTGTCAAGTAGCCCTTAAAGGAGTAATCAATGCTAGTTTTGACACAGTCTTACAGCCCCAAAAGATGAACTTGTTTTGATAGAGGTATTCTGAATTAAATGGAAGAGCGGAGAGACTATAATTTATGGACAAACCAATCACGTATAAGATAATAGATCTGGGATTTTGGCGCGAAATTCACCTATCCATTTGGATAAATAGTTTTGGCATCATAGCTGATGTCAGTTCGTGATGAAAACCCGAAACCTAATCCCTAACCTTAATCATCAACTGTAAATTATAATTCCTCACACTGGTTTATAACACTCACTTGGTCGTGATTATTTAGTGGTCACTCTCAAGGTCAGTCCAGAGTCACTCAAAGATCGTCAATAAATTAGTCTCACCGGAAAAGTTACCAAAATCGAAATTGATCTTGAACTTTGAAACAGCTAAAGAAGGTAACAATGATGCCAAACATAAATGGAGTACAAAAAGAGGAGTTGCCAACTGTAGCAAAATCATCCGTTCTACTCTTCGCTGATGACATAAAGGTTTGGAGACCTATACATAGTATGTCGGATAGAATAGTATTACAGGACGATCTTAGCTCATTGGTGGCATGGTTAGACAGATGGTCACTAGAAGTAAATCCTAATAAGAGGGTAGTGATGCAGTTAAATAACTCTGATGAATCGTATGACTATACACCACGTGGATTCGTGCTACCCAAAGCAAGAAACTATAAAGATTTAGGAGTCATATTAAGCAATGATCTCAAAACCACTAGTCACTGTAAGGCTGCTGCTGCAAAAGGCTATAGGGTATTATGGTCAATTCGTAGGTCTTTCCAGTATTTAGATGGTGAAATGTTTAGATTACTATACCCGATTTATGTGCGACCACATTTAGAATACGGGATTCAAGCAGCGTATCCTTGTTTCAAGTATGAAGCAGATATGCTAGAAAGAGTCCAACGACGAGTTACTAAGATGGTACGAGGTCTATCTGGCCTATCTTATGAAGACAGACTGAGACACCTTAACTTATTTCCGTTATCTTACCGTAGAATACGGGGTGATCTAATATTGGCCTATCGTATACTGAACGATGGCCTTGATATTAACATGTCTTATCTTTTGCTTCCGTCTAGAACCGATCATTTGAGAGGACATTCGAAGAAAGTTCAAAAACCGAGATCAAACCGTTTACGTCTGGAGTTCCGTTTCTCGCAACGAGTAGTGAATTACTGGAATTCTCTACCGGAACACGTTATATCAGCCCCGTCTATTAATATATTCAAAACGACGTTGGACCTCCACAGTATTACAAACTGCAAGGATTAATATAGGTCGATAGACCTATCCTTATTACTGAAGACTGATATATGTCCCCTAATCAATCACGTTATAGGGAACTCAATTTCTTCAAACTCTGGCGACTTTGATCGGCAAGCCTCACAATCTTCAACAATGACACAGATAAAGTCACTCTTAACTTTCCACCCGACCTCGAATCCCGTCTCTCTCATTTATTGCCAGCGCATTTCAGTTTCAGTTTCAGTTTGGGAAGGACAGGAGGCTCGATGGCCTATGTTAGTCCTGGCAATGGTGGTCTCTCAGTTGATCCAACTTTCTTTTGAAAGAGTCGACGGATGGAGCCTCAACCACGTGCTGAGGTAGTGAATTCCACTCGTTGATGATTCGATGGGAAAGTCGATAGTCAGCTGACAAGTAATTTGTTCTCGGCTTATGAACTTTTTTGGAGTGTCCTCGTAAATTCTCTGTTTTGGAAGACAAGAAAAATGAGGGCATGTTAGGTGCAAATTTATCACTAAGCAATTTGTAGACTGTAATCAAGTCGCCTCTAGTTCTGCGATATGACAACGGGAAAAGGTTCAGCTTGGCCAGTCGAGATTCATACGGAAGCTTCGCTATTGCGGGAACCAGTTTAGTCGCCGTTCTCTGAACCTTTTCCAGAAGCTCACTGTCTTTTTTAAAGCAGGGGCTAGCCGCTTGTATGCAGTACTCAAGTTTAGGACGAACGAACACTGTATACAAAGTCAAAAACGTCTTAGTGTCGACATGACTAAAAGCCCTACGTATTGACCATAACGTTCTAAAACTTTTGGCGGCTATTGCACGGCAGTGTGCAGTAGTCTTTAAGTCTTGACTAACGATAACTCCTAAGTCATTATATGTCTGGACGACAGGTAGCTCAGTGTTATTCATCGTGTATGTATCTGTGCCTTGATGACCGATATGCATCACAACACACTTGGAAGTATTTATCGGCAACTGCCATGTTTGAGACCATTCAGATAACTTCTTCAGGTCATTTTGAAGTTCTAAGCTATCACTCTTACATCGTATCGTTCTCCATATCTTGACATCGTCAGCATATAGCAAGACCGATGATGATAGGAGACAAGGAAGGTCATTTACATACAAGAGGAATAGCACTGGCCCCAAAACTGTACCCTGGGGCACTCCACTAAGCACAGTTTCCCAGCTAGATAACTTTGAGTTCACCCTTACTCTTTGTTGACACCCAACTAAGAAGTCTTTTATCCACATCAATAAATTACCTCCAATCCCGACATGTCTTAACTTATATAACAGCCGGTTGTGCGGAACTTTATCAAAAGCTTTACTGAAATCAATGAAGGCGACGTCTACAGGTAGCTTTTGGTCCTTAAGAGCACACCAGCTTTCACGAGCCACTAATAAGTTAGTGAGACAAGAATAACCTATTCTGAAGCCATGCTGCTTCTCCGAGAGGATCCGGTTTTTATCGAGATACTCAAACAGCTCCTTCCGAATAATCTTTTCTAATATTTTAACAACCACACTAGTTAGGCTAACGGGGCGGTAGTTCTCAGGTTTGTGTTTCGTGCCTGTTTTGAAGACAGGACTTACTATGGCGTTTTTCCAGTCTTTCGGTAAACGACCCTGCGTAACGGATAGGTTAAAGCATGTACTTAAAGGGTTCGCAACGAAGTTAGATAATTCCTTCAGTAGCCTAGGATGTAATTCATCGGGCCCCGTGGATTTACCTATGTCAAGCTTATTTAGCAGACCAAAGACATCGAGTTCTTTAATGGTCACGCTATCCAGTGTATGTATGGGGGGATCTGTATACGCTGACGAGAAGGGCGCTTCTATGGTATACACGTTGCTAAAGTAGTTCGAGAACGCTTGAGCCTTACCAAAGTCGTCCTCCACTAATGATGAAGCAGTACTGTCTCCCCATAGAGCAGGAATATTTCCTTTTCTCCTTGTCCTTTGGTTTATATAGGAATACAAGCGTTTAGGACATTCTATGGATTCCTTAACAAGTTTTTCTTCGTACAATTTTCTAGACTTACGGAGGGTCGAGGCACAAGTGTTCCGAGCCTTTCGATACTGAGATTTTGACTCATCAGTCCCCAGTAACCTAAATCTATCCCACGTTTTCCTTTTTTTACGGAGAAGGATACGGACCTCCCTACTGAACCATGGTGGTGAGTTTTTCGGCCCCTTTGGTATAGTCCAAGGGATGTGAGGTGTGGTAACTTTTAAGTATGATTTTCGAAATGCGTCCCAGGCCGTTTCAATGGAGGACTCTGGGTCTATTGTCCAATCTATTAACGATGCTGAGTGCATGATGTCTGGTATGTTTGCTTTCCAGACGTTGGGTCTGGACTGGACTGACGCGTCCTCATGACTGGCAGTTATATGGAAGTCGAAAGTTAAAACTGCGTGGTCACTTTTACCTAAGGGTGGCATATGGTGGAGGTTCGCAACATCATCCTCATAGTGAGTCAGTATAAGATCTAATAAGGATGATTCAGTGTCCGGGTCGTACCTAGTCGCTTCTTTCACATGTTGCACTAGGGCACATGTGATAACCGCATCAACTAGTTCCTGCTCGAAGGAATTTTCTGACGATTCAGTTCGCAGATTTTCCCAGTCTACCATAGGTGCATTAAAGTCCCCTAGGATTAGACATCGACCACTTTGGGACCAAGTATTGAGACTGCTTAACAGGATCTCATTTGCCTCACAGCTTGGACTGCGATAGACCAAACCAATCAGCAGCTCTTGTCCCTTGCATTTTAAGCGAAGACTAACTAATTTCACATTACAAACAGATGATCTTAAAAATTATGCTTAAATTTTCTGTCATGTCTGGTGTGAGAATGCCAGGTAGGTGACCAAATGAGTATAAATTGGGAAGTTAGCAATAAAAATAAAAACCAAGACCGCCGAAACTGCACAAGCACTTTTTACCTCCTGAAGACCTTGAGGTGGGTAAGGTCACTGGGCAAACATTCTCTATGTTTAAAGTTTTGTTTCAACTTTCAAGACATGTAAAGTATCCGGCACTTTCGCATAAATACTTCATAAAAATATCAAGCCGTGATGGCCTAACCAAAAATGTTGGTGACGCTGCCGAACTTCCATCGGAACAGTACTTTCGGAC